ATTTTTGAATTTTCCTCCTGCAGAGGGACAGGCCCGACTTAACCCTGGCAGGATCGAGGTGCACCCAGAGACCTCCCACGCCCAGCTCTCCTGAGGGGACCGCGCGAACCCCAGAACTCTTGACCACGCGCGCGGGCCTTTCTCTGAGGGCCTGCAGAAGGGCTCGCACGATGTTCTTGGAGGGCTTGATCAGTCGCGACCACATCTGTGACCTGCCCCGCCCCCCCTCCCCTCCCGTCCCTGAGTCACGTTACGCTTCGCGCCGGCGCCGTCTATGAATCAGCCTGTCTTCAACAGTCCCAGACGGTGCAAGCGCGAATCGTGACGTGCCCCCTCCCCCCCTCCCGCGCGAGTCCCCTCAGCTATCACCGCACACAAAACGCGTAAACAAAAATCCGACGCTCCGCAAAAATTGGGGCGGCCCGTTTTTTGGACGCCCGAAATGGGTAGGGGAAAAATGGGTACAATGCCCAACAACAAATGCTGTCCCAAACCAACAGCGGCCGCTGTTGGGCAGGCGGCCCTCTGTCTCGAATGGACACAGGCCGCGGCGGCGTGGACAGCGAATCCTGTTCAAAATGAGCAGGAACTGCTGGTGGGCATTGTGCCCATTCTTTCCGTACCCATTTCGGGCGTCCAGAGTTGTGTCAGCGAGCGAAGAACGGTATAACATAAACTTTTTCGCTGCCGGGGGCGCCTGTCCCTGTGCGGCTGGAAAGTTTATACCCCTACGGTGCCACCGTAAGGGTATAAACTGTCCAGCCGCCCAGGGACAGGCGCCCCCGGCAGCGAACAAAAATTATATTATATCGTTCTTCGCCCGTTAATGAAGGGGCTCTGGGACCCACACATAAATACACAGAAATAAAATAATTCCCCATATTTTCACATATTTTCTCTGATTCTGTCTTCCCCACCACTTCCCATATCTTCTGGGGATCAACGATTCATTGTGTCTGTGTGTCTTCTTCCCTCCTGAGTCAATTTTGGGATGTTCTCACCCTCCGGGAGCAGCCCGCGGGCCCCGGGACCGTCCACGACACGGCTCAAGGCCGAGAAGCAGCAGCGCCGAGGGCGCCGCGCGTGGAGCCTCGAGCGCCCCAGGCAGCCCTCTCCCTCTGCACACCCTGGCCATCGCTCGGACGTCCATCTCCTGTGCTTTTGTTTCGGTTTCGTGCGTGGCCTTCTCGCGGCATGATCAAGGATGCTCCTCGATGGTCCTCGCCGAAAGAAAAATGCACACGTCCGAGCGATGCCAAGCACCAGCGAGTTCGGGCGAAAGGGGGGGATAGCAAAGGGGGGGGTTGAGAATCATAGCTCACGTAGCTGATTTTCCCGGCGCCTCCCGGCGCCGGGAGGCGGCCATGTACCGAAGAATGGGCCCCTCGGTGAGGCCGAAACCGGCTGCATGCAGCACATTTCGTAACCCCCCCTTTCCCAATCCCCCCCGTTCGTCCGGCCCGAGAAGTCGGTACACCTTGCAAGAGAAGGCCTGTGGGCCAAGGAAATTGCCCAGACCTCCGGGGGTCCACGCATCGAAACAGCGGGAGTGCCGGATGCCTGGGAGGGGCCTCCTGGGCCGCACAGGGACCCCTCGAGACACCCGACGCTCGAGCACGGCCGGCCGTCGCGGAGGTGCCCCCGGGGGCCTTCGCAGAGGCCAGCCCATAGGGGGGCAGAGCAGAGCTTTCGGGCGGTGGCTGGGCTGGGTTTCGCTGGACCTGGTTTAATGAGACGTGCTTTGGGGCGCCCCCTCCGCGCGGAACTGCCGTCACCTGGAAAGCCGAAGCTATGGCATACCTGGTTTAGTGATGCGGGCTATTTTTGTTGGGCGCGGGGCCCAATTACTGACCGGGGTTCTGGCTTTTGGTGAAGACCTCAATTTTGTATCGCACAAGGGCTTGGCCCTCTCCTCATGTATCGATACGATCGGAATGGATACGGACATCATGTTCCGAAGACCGACAGCAATTCCAGCTCGTTTTGACCCAGATTCGCTGTCGGTCTCGTCGCGGGCGTTGTCCATTGAAGACTAAAGACTAGAGGCCGACTGCTCAACAACGACCGCTATTGGAAATGGTCAACATTCGGTCTTGGGTATCACACCCGTGTTTTCCGTACCCATTCCAGGCTTCCCCGAAATACTGCGCGCCGCGGGAGGGATGAGATCTGGGGCAGTGCGCAGATGAGCGGGAGGAGGCGGAGGAGGAGGAGCAGGAGCAATCCGCGAGGGGCGGGGAGCGAGAGGCCAGGAACGAGAGGCGAGGAGGAGGAGGAGGAGGACGAGGAGGAGGAGGAGGAGGAGCGAGGAGCGATGCGCGAGGAGCGAGTGGAAGGAGGAGCGAGGAGGAGGAGGAGGAGAAGGAGGAGGAGCAGGAGCAGGAGTGGAAGGAGGAGGAGGAGGAGGAGGAGGAGGAGCGAGGAGCGAGGGGAAGAGGAGCGAGGAGCGAGGGGAAGAGGCGCGACAAGCGAGGGGAAGAGGGAGCGAGGAGGAGGAGGAGGATGAGGACGAGGAGGAGGAGGATGAGGAGGAGGAGCGAGGAGCGAGGAAAAGGAGGAGGCAGAAGCGGAGGAGGAGGAGGCGGGGGGGAGGAGAGGAGGAGGAGGAGGAGGAGGAGGAGGAGGAAGAAGAGGAGGAAAAGGAGGAGGTGCCGGGGTAGAGGCGGGCGGCGCCTTCGAGATACGACGCGACCGCAGGCCCGCTCTGCGAACTCCAGGGGGTCCGTAGGGGGAGCTCCCTACGGGGCAATCTATGTCTGAGAGATGCGGCGCAATCCTCCCGCCCCATCTGCTCGGACCCGAGCAGACTCGAGGTGGCTCACCATGCCGCTCTCCTGCGTTACCTCTGCGCGAGGCTGGCGCTTCCCTGGCCACCTTCCAGCCGCCCCTCTCACACGCTGCGGCTTCTCCGCCTCCCGCTTGGCCGCCTCCTCCTCCTCCCTCGCCGCCGCCTGCTCCTCCTCCTCCTCCTCGCTCCTCCTCCTCCTCCTCCTCCTCCTCCTCCTCCTCCTCCTCGCTCCTCCTCCTCCTCCCCCTCCTCCTCCTACTCCTTCTCCTCCTTCTCCTCCTTCTCCTCCTTCTCCTCCTCCTGCGCCTGTTCTGGTTCTTGTCCTCGTCTTCCTCGTCCTCCCAAGCACCTTCCAGCCACCCCTCCCGCAGCGCCTACTGAAGAACCCGTGGCCTCCGTGCGCGTCTCGGTGGCTCCGCAAGCGCGCTCTTTCTTCGGGCAGCTGGAGCGCGCCGCTCGGAAGCCGCCGGCCTGCACGTGTTTTGGTGCGGCGGCCGCGGCGTGTGTTTCTGCTCGTCGGGCGGAGGAAGGGGCAGGCTGGGGAGGGAGGACGATGCAGGCTGACGAAAAAGAAAGCATGCGCAGGGGGACGATGACCACGCAAAGTACACAGGGAGACGTGCTGGAGAGGACGATGGAACCAATCCCAGTGACGACCACGACGCCCACGGCAGGCCTGGAATCATCGTCCAAGGGGCTGCTGCGTGCTGGCCCCACCTCCCCAGCATTTCTTAATCGTCATCCTGCGTTCGTGGGATGGGGATGGTACACGTCCCTCCTCCCTCTTCCTCCTCCTTAGTCGTCCTCCTCCTCCTCTCTGGCTGGTTCTTGGATGGTACGAAAAGGAAATCCCGTACCATCTGATGTCAAGCTGGCAATTTCCAGCCGTTGCGCAGCAGAATCAGGGGGATGGGAGGAGGCGGGCAACGCAGAGGAGGTAGGGGATGGGCAGAGGCGCAGTAGAGGCAGGAGGGTTGGGGGAACACGGCGGGGAGGAGGGGAAACAGGAGGCCTCCAGAGCCCACTGGACTGGAGGTCCCCGCGAAGGCTCCTGGAGACTTGAGGAGGCCCAAGCTGGGCCAAAGACGCTCAAAAGCCTTCGATCTTTGATCCCCGACTCTCCAGCGAGGCGGAGGACGAGGAGGCAGGTCGGGGGAGAGAGGGACGGAGAGAAAGAGGAAGAGCAGAGCTACCCCGCCGAGGTGGGCGGGAGGAGGATCGACAGGAGAAGGAGGAGGTGTAGGCGGAGGAGATGGGCCCAAGATGGTCCAAGAAGCCTTCGAGACGCCCACAGGGAGCCCCAAGATCCTCTTCATGAGGGCCCCGAGAAGCCAACATCAGTGATCTTAAATACAATATTTTTGCATGTTGTTTTGGGGTGGGAGAGGAATGTTTTGGACAATTTGGGCGATGACCATGCGCCACCCAGATGGGAGGCAACCCGCGGACGACGGGTACCTCTCTCCTCTCCAAGCCGTCCAGAGAAGCAGCGGCAGGCGGGGGGGGGGGGGGGAAGAACGAGGGGGCAGGAGGCAGAAGACACTGGGGTGAGGGGGAGACGCATGCTGCGGCGGAGGAAGACGAGGCGGAGGAGCAGAACATGGAGGAGAAGGAGGGGGAGGACGAGAAGGAGGAGAAGGAGGGGGGAGGAGGAGGAGGAGGAGGAGGAGGAGGAGGAGGAGGAGGAGGAGGAGGAGGAGGAGGAGGAGGAGGAGGAGGAGGAGGAGGAGGAGGAGGAGGAGGAGGAGGAGAGGGAGGAGGAGGAGGAGGAGGAGGAGGAGGAGGAGGAGGAGGAGGAGGAGGAGGAGGAGGAGGAGGAGGAGGAGAGAGGAGGAGGAGGAGGAGGAGGAGGAGGAGGAGGAGGAGGAGGGAGGAGGAGGAGGAGGCGGAGGAGGAGGAGGAGGAGGACGAGGAGGAGGCGGAGGAGGAGAGGGAGGAGGAGGAGGAGGAGGAGGAGGAGGAGAAAGAGGAGGAGTCGGAGGAGGAGGCGGAGGAGGAGGAGGAATTGGAGGAGGAGGAGGAGGAATTGGAGGAGGAGGAGGAGGAGGAGGATGGGCCGGGGCCGGAGACGGCGAGGCCGAGGAGGAGCACGAGGGAGAGGACGGGCACGAAGAGGACGAGCACGAGGAGGAGGCGGAGGAGGCGTGCAGGAGCGCGGCTTGGCGCGCTCCCGAAGGTCGTGCAGGCCGCTGCCACGGAGGGCGCGCGGAGCTCACGTGCCCGGGGGCTTCATGATGGCGTAGCTCTGCGCGCCCCCGACCGCGAGGCTGTGGCCCTTGAAGCCCTGGCGCCGCACGGCTGGGAGGGCCGTCCGCGGCGGCGGCGCAACCGTAGGCCGCCTGGCCCGACCGAAGCACGTCGGTTGCAGTCGGACTCGATTTGTCAGGACACGCGAGAGGACGCAAGACCCTTCCGAGGGCCACATTGCCACAGGAGTGTAGAAAACATGGGTCGCGAGATACAGGACACAAGGGTACCCTTGATTTGGCAGGGTCGACCTACTAATCTGGGCCGACTGTACGGGACCACGTTAAGGCTGTTCCTCCCCGTGGGATCTCCCGAAAGCAGCCGAGAAGGAAGCAGTGCCGCGGCACCGGTGCAACGGCGTTCTGGCGTCTCGCTGGAGAGATCTCTACAATTTCAGTGCGGGGAAGCTCCTTGGACCTCCTCCTCGCTGACGGTGGCCATGCTGGTGATGGTGCCGCTTCTCCATCTTCCGCCTTTCCTCGCTACAGTCGGGCTGCTGAAATAAGGAACACTAAGTAAGAACCGAAGCCCCTCTGCGGCTTCAAAAAAGCCTGGGTGCACGAGAAGGGCTAGAGGAACAACCACGGAAGGACGTAAGGAGCATCGAGCCCCTTCCTAATCCAAACTGTTCCTTCTTTCAGCGTCTTGGCTGTAATCCTCGCTCCCCTCCTCCCTACAGGGCTCCCAACTTCGCGCTTGGCGCTGCGCGAAGCGTGAAAAACCTCGCGCTCTCGCGCCGCCTCCCAGGAGAGAAGAGGAGGATGAGGGGGAATCGAAGCCGAACCGCGCAGCGCGAAGCGCGAATTACTTCGCACCCTCGAGGGCGCCCTTGCTTATTTGAGCGTCTTGGCTGTACTCCTCGCTCCCCTCGCTCCCCACTCTGCCCCTCCTGTGCCTCCGAATGCGCGGGGCCCGACCCACGGGCGCCTCCTGGGACCTGCGGGGGTGAACGCGGTTCTCGCCCTCCCTCGGCCCGTCCCGCTCCCTCTTCTCTTCCCCCTCCTCCTCCTCCTCCCCCTCCCCCTCCTCCTCCTCCTCCTCCTCCTCCTCTCCAGCCCATTCCTCCCTTCCTCCCACTGTTCCCCCTAAATACATGTACTCTCCCTTCTCCTCATCCTGCTCATGCTCCTCATCCTTCTCCTCCTCCTCCTCCCCTCCTCCTCCCCCTCCTCCCCTCCTCCTCCTCCCCTCCTCCTCCTCTCCTCCTCCTCCTCCTCCTCCTCCCTCCTCTGCTCCTCATCCGCCTCCTCCTCCTCCTCCCCTCCTCTTGCTCGCCTCATCCTCCCTCTCCTCCCTTCCTCCTCCTCCTCATCCTCCTCCTGTGCCTTCCCTCCTGCTCTTCATCATATCCCTACTCCTGTTCCTCCACCTCCTCCTCCTCCTCCTCCACCTCCTTCTCATGCCGTTATTGCTGTTGCTCCACGTCTTGTTGTAGCTCCTCCTCCACCTCATCATCAACATCATCAGCATCACCATCACCATCATAATCCACATCATCGCATTAGCAGACAGAATCACCATCATCAGTATCATCAGCATCACATTCACCATCATCACCAGGATCCTCATAACCATGATCATCAGCAGCATCTGCAACATCGTCACTACCTGATTTACATCGGTAGCATCATCAACAACAGCATCAACATCAACGCCAACATCAACATCAACATCAACATCATCATCATCATCATCATCATCATCATCATCATCATCATCATCATCATCATCATCAGCATCATCAGCATCAGCATCATCATCATCATCATCAGCATCATTCCAACACTCCTCCTCCTCCTCCTCCTCCAGCTCGTCCTCCTTCTGCATTCCTTGCCCTCCCGCATCTCCTCCCCCTCCCCCTCCCCTCCTCCCTCCTGCTTCTGTACCCCACTTCCCCCCTCTCTGGTTTCTGTTTCTGTCGCTCGCAGCCCCCGTTGTCGGCATCGGGCTGCCTCCGCCAAAGTCCGCCCCCCTCCCCCCTCCCCTACAATTACACAACACGACTACTCCCCTGAATCTGCCCAGAGAGTGTAACATCCTCGCGGCGCATTTTTGTTTACACAAATTTCATTATTTGGTTTCCTCCTATAGTTGTTCAGTCCTGTCGTTTCTGGTCTTCCAAAATGTTGCCCCCGCTGCAGCGCCGCCGCCTTCAGTTCCGCGCTTCGGTCTTTCGAAATCGTGCTCCCGCTGCAATGCTGGTCTCGTTCCCGCGCGTCTGAACGGCACATTCGGAAGCGCCCACATCGGGCAGGCACGATTGCGGAGGACATGGATACAGCATTCCAGACAGACCCTGTCCTCTCGTAGACGGGCCACTTACTCCAAGACATCCGAAGCCATGCCACGGCATGCAATGCACCGCTGTGCCATACCATGCTCTTCGTTGCTATGCTTCCTGATGCAATGCTTCACTACGCAATGCCACGCCATGCTATGACATGCTACGCTCTGCCGGGCTCTTCTACGCCATGCTTTCCCATCCATCGCGTACCCTCTTGGGGTCACTGCACTGCTCGATATCCGTCTGTGCGGATACATGGGAGGTCTGCGCCCTGGTAAGGTATGAGAGGGAGGGCCAGCGTCACATCCAGCCCATCCTTTCCAGCCCTCCGCCCTCTCTTCGGGTCGGCCAGACGGTGGGAATATCTAAAGGGGCCCCAGGACACACAAATAAATACACACAAATAAACAGATTCCCCATATCTTCACATATTTCCTAGGTTTTCGTCTTCCCCACACTTCCCGTATTTTCCTATAGTTTCCTGGGACTCGACGATTCATTGTGTCTGTGTGCTCTTTCTCCTCCTGAATATCAGAGGGGGAGAGAGGGGCTCAGCGAGTCAGCTCACGCAGCTGGCAGTCCTGGCGCCCCTCGGCGCCCGAGGCGCGAGCGCAGCGAGGAACACGCCGGGAGGCGGGACCGACACCAGCGGCATGCAGCAGATTTCGCACCCCCCCCTCTGCAGTCGTTCGGACGTCCATTTCCCGTGCATTATTCATGTTCGTGCGTACTTTTTTCGCTCGATGATCCAGGATGTTCCTCAAGGGTCCTCGCCGAGGAAAAAATACACACGTCCGAGCGATGCCAAGTCTTCTGCAGTCCCCCCCCTCTCTTGGCACGAAGCGAGCGGGCGGGACCCGAGGGAAGCGGGCCCTGGACCGAGGAACCTTCCTCAGGACCAAGAGTTGTTCCAAATGCCCATCGGTCGGAAGAAGTAGGTAGACACATGATGTAGGAAGGCGTTGAAAGTAGATCGGGTTCCGTCCGCCCCCAAGGGAGGACGGAGAAGGTAAAACCACTCGATCACTGAATTAGGAAGGCGCTTCAAGCAGATTGGAATCTGGGAGCCCAAAAATGCCTACTTGCAACGATCGATGGGTACGTGCGTTGACAGTCCGGGGGCCGAAAGGAGAACTTCAACACTTTCCTTCGCCACCGCTTCTGGGGGAACACCGCGCAGCTATCGCTGCGCCATCTCCGGCCACTGGCTCTGCTGCTGGTGGCTCAACTGCTGCCGGCTCGACTGCCGATCAATACGAATATCTTCATCATTGGACTGGGGAACAAATGCATTGTGGAAATGAAACCCAAAAGCTGGTGAATAAGGCCAGCTGTTTCCGTCAACTCCCGCGTTTTCTCATTCGTACCGCTCCCGTAGAAAAGGGTAACATCGAGTGGGGTAAGAGTAGAGCAAAATAGAGTAAGTAAACCGTAAAGTAGAGTCGGGCATCCAATAGAGTACAATACAATGGATTAAGACGCATCCACCCCAGCCAAGTGCAGTCAGTTTGGGTAAACTCCAATCCACTCCGTTCCAAGACTTTCCTGGCTCATTCCGCATTTTCGCTGGATGGCAGGTCCTGGCGACATTATTCCGACCCCCTCCCTCCCGCCTCCCCCCTCGTGCTCCTCGATTAGGGGGTCGAGAGCATAACTGATATGCCCGAGAGTTGATTTCCTCCTCGACTCTACCAGAAAACGCAGCTTTTGGTCGTGGGTTCGACGTAAAAAACAATTCAGGTGGGAATCCATTCCGATCCCCTATTCGAGATTTGTGTGGGGGGGGGGGGAAAGCGGGAGACGCGCCGCCTCTGGCAGATCGTCGACGGCCTGCGGCTTCACAAACGTCTCCTCCGACTCCTCGCCGATGGCCTCGCGGCAGATGAGCGGGGGGGCGCCGCGGGGGGTGCGAGAGGCGAGGTGGCCGCTGGGAGGCCCCCCGCGAGGACAAGTCCCTCCTGTGCCGCCTCCCCCTCGCCCCCTCCTCGACGATTTGTTGTGCCCACGGGGGCCCCACCTGCGGTGGCAGGGCCTCGGGAAAAAAAAGAAAACAGGGGAAAACGCCAGATGGTGCAGCCAGGCCATTTGGCGCAAGGCCTCAAGATGGGCCAGCTGGTCCGCGGAAGAATCAACCCAAATCGCAGCTCGCAGGCACTCCCTACGAGGGTGATAGAGGCTTCCTGGATGGGCTCCGAGTAGATGGAGTCGGAAGACCGCGCCGCATCGCCGATGTATCGACGATGCATCGGCGACGTCGGCGTGGAGAAAATCGAGCCCCACATCGAGCCGCATGCTTTTTGCCTGGACATTGCTAATCCCTGTAATCTGTTCCGATCGTGTCTCATGATCGGGGGGCCCCGCCGAAGCCATGGCGAGGAAGGAACGTTCCGTTAAGCTGGCCGTAGAATAACCCTGAAGGGAGGAGGCCGTCCCGCCGGCCGGCGCGCGCGAGGGCGGGCACGCCCCTTTTCTGCTATTCTAAGCCGATGCAGCTGCGGACAGTACGGCGGCGGCAAGGCGGCGGCAGCAGGCAGATGGCGCGGATTGGAGCGCATTGACTGCATCGCCTTGCATCGGCGATGCGGCGCGATCCTCCGACTGGGGGAGTGTAGGAGCGCTTTTTCGGCGGCGAGGCGGAGGCGGTCCGCTCCAGCGTGTGGCTAAGAGAGGCAGTCGAAATGCAACATGTCCGACACGCAAGAGGTAAATGAGAGAGAAAGAAAAGGAGACAAGGAGAGAGAGAGAGAGAGAGAGAGAGAGAGAGCGAGAGTGCGACAGAGTGTGGGAACCTGTGCGAAACAGAAGATGAATATAGAGAAAGAAGAGAAAGACAGAGAGAGAGAGAGAGAGGAAGATAGAGCGAGGGAGAGGTATAACTGGAGACAGAGAGAGAGAGAGAGAGAGAGAGAGAGCGCGCCAGAGAAAGAGGGAGAGAGAGAGAGAGAGAGAGAGAAAGAGAGAGCGCAATAGAGAGAGAGAGAGACAGAGATAGGGTGGAGGGGAGGAGGGAGGACGAGTGAGAGAGGAAGGAAGAGAGAGAGAGAGAGAGAGAGAGAGAGACAGAGACAGAGAGAGAGAGAGAGACAGAAAGAGAGACAACGATGGAGGGGAGGGGGAGGAGGGAGAAGCAGGGAGGGGGAGAGGGCGAAAAGAGCGGCAAAGGAACCGGGGCCGTGGAAAGGCATGGAGACCTGGGGGAGAAGGGAAGAGGGGCGGGTGGTGACTCGGGGGGGGTCAGGAGCGGAGGAGTGAGGAGCGAGGAGGACGACGGCGAGCAGGAGGAGAGGAAAGGGGGAGGGCAACGAGGCAGGACGAGGAAGAACACAGCCGAGGCCCGTCTACAAGGAACCTTCCACAGGAAGCCCAACCCCGAGACCCCAGGACATCCACGGATGTTTTGGAGCGGGAGCGTGACGCGTTCCATGCCAAAACCCTTGAGACCCGAGAAATCCAAAGCACCCTGGAGGCAAGCAGGGTGTTTCTTGGCATGGGTCCCCACTGTACAGAGCACGGCGGGCCGAATGGCTTCGCTGGGGAGGACGAGGCGAGCATGACGGGGGAGCACGGGGTGCGTCGGGGACGGAGGCCGAGAGGGACGGGCAGAGAGTCAGGGGAGCAGCGACGAGGTGGAAGAAGGGGCAGTTGGAGGAGCAGGGGGAGGGCGGGGTAGCATAGCAGGTGCTGACGCAGTTGTCCTCCTCCTCCTCCTTCTCCTCTTCCTCCTTGTCTGCCCATCCATCTCGCCGACGTCGTCCTCATCCTCTCTCCTCCTCGGACTGCTTTGCTCGTGGCAGGGCAACCTTCTCAGCGTTCACCTGGGATGCAAGAAGGGCCCCATCGAACAAATGCGGTGAACGACCAGGGGCCTCCGACAAAAAAAAACTACCGTGGAGCTGTCTTTTTAAAGATGGCCCCAAGGCCAGCAACGAATGCAGCCCGACATGCGCTCGGTGGCTAACGGCATCCACCTTAGCATGCTAGCCGTGCCCCTCCCTCCTCATCAACATCAACCTCAGAGGTCCCTTGCCATGGCTCGAACGTTTGTTCCCTGTGCATGTTTTGGTGACGTGCGCGCATTTGTTTCCGCAGAGTGAACATTCTGGAAGTAAGAAGGCGCTAGAAGTAGACTGGGGCCCGTGAATTCACAAGACATGCTTTCGACGACCGACGTGCAGAACTCCGCCGACTTCCGGCGACCGCCCACCGTCCTACGTACACTGTAGCGCCAGGTCCTGTGCTGCGTTTTTTTTGGTGACCACTTTCTGGCCATCGCTCGGGCGTCCATTCCCGGTGCTTTTTTCGGTTTCGTGCGCGGTTTTTCGCCAGATGATGATCAAGGATGCTCCTCGATGGCCCTCGCCGAAGGAAAAATGCACACGTCCGAGCGATGCCAGGCGTTGGTCTCTGGCACCGCGTGTGCCGTTCGACCTCGAAGGAACGCGGCTGCACGCGATTGCGCAGATCGCGCATCGGTCGATTTTCGGGGCCACCGACGGCGCTCTCAGCCTTGAGAACGGCCGCGCCGTGAGCTGCCGCCACGGCAGCCCGGCGCGAGCCTGCCGTACCGAACAGCTCGACGACTGGAGCCTCCGACATGGCACTGGCCATCGCTCGGACGTCCATTCCCGGTGCTTTTTTCGGTTTCGTGCGTGGTTTTTTCGCCAAATGATCAGGGATGCTCCTCGACGGTCCTCGCCGAGAAAAAAATGCACACGTCCGAGCGATGCCAAGTGATCCAAGTGCGCCGGAGAGTAGAGCCACGAAGAGGAGGGATGGCGCATCGTGGCCAAAGGCATGTGCGCAGACCAGGGGGGGCAGCGGGTGCATGGAAAGAAGAATATGCATAAGACTACGATAAAGAAGATGGCCAGGCAAATCTAAAAACCCCAAGAACCCGAACCCTCGCCGACCCTGACTTGTCACGCCCAACGCGGGGACGATGCCCGGCTGCGAGTGCTGTCCAAAACGAACAGCGGCCGACGCTGGATCAGCGCCGCTTGTCGGGCGGGTGCTAATGGGGGATGGCCTGAATGGGGGGTGAAGAAAGGGGCCCTAAGCGGGACCCTTTAGGGAGTTCAGGGTCCCCTTTGGAGCTAGTTGCTGCTCAACATGGACCCTCAAGGTGGCCTGTAGGGCCTTTCTTTCTTCTTCCGCATGTTGGTCACCCCCCATTACCACCCGCCCGAGCGTGTCCCAAATGTACAGCATCCGCGACAAGAACGGCAACAAGTCTTGTTCATAATGGACAGGGAATGCCGTCGGCCATCGACGCCCCCCCACACCATCTGCACGCAGTAGTGACCCCAAGCAAGAACGACATTAGGTGTGCGGGTTTCTGGGGCCGCGTGTGTGCGTGTGTGTGTGTGTGTGTGTGTGCGTGCGTGCGTGCGTGCGTGCGTGTGTGTGCGTGCCTGTGTGTGTGTGCGTGTGTGTGCGTGTGTGTGTGTGTGTGTGTGTGTGTGTGTGTGCGTGTGCTTGTGTCTGCGCTTGTGTGTGTGTGTGTGTGCGTGTGTGTGTGTGTGTGTGTGTGTGTGTGTGTGTGTGTGTGTGTGTGTGTGTGTGTGTGTGTGTGTGTGTGTGTGTGTGTGTGTGTGTGTGTGTGTGTGTGTGGGGGGGGGAAGGGCGGGTTACGCGCCGCGAGATGCTTGGCCGCTGCACTTTAGCTGCACAATGCCTCAGCTTTGTACCACCTGCACCTGTCTGCACAGCCGTGGCTGACCCTTTCATCACGGCGCGTTCGACTAAGCTGGTCCGCAATTGGCACTTCCATCTGCCGACCGCGCCTGAGTTTCCTCTGCGCCGCCGATTTGACAGTGGCAGCGGGGGGGGGTAAATCTAAGCGCGCCAACCAGTGCTAGGGGGGGGACCCCGGTGGGCTGGCACCGATGGGGGTCTGGGTTGCCAGCGATAATCGGACCATCTCGGGCCTCAGGCGGTCGTTCGGAACGATCGATTCGGGGACCCCTGGAGCGCCCTCATTGAGGCGCAGCCGGCGAAAACCACCTCGGGCCGCTTAAACCTCCTAACACTTTGCACAACTTCCGAACACTTCCGAAACTGTGAATATCTTCAGCACGAGTGGTGGCATCGCCGTGACCGTAGTCGGGCGCACCCAAGGGCGCCTGCTTCTGCCGGTTGTACCTGGCGGGGCCGGCTCATCAGTACCCATCGGTCGGAAGAAGTAGGTAGAAACATGAAGTAGGAAGGCGTTGGAAATAGACTGGGCTTCCGCCCGCCACCTGAAGAGGAGGGAAGAAGGAAATCAGTCGATCCTTGAAGTAGGAGGGCGCCAAAAGTAGATGGGAATCAGGGACTCCAAAAATACCTACTTCCAACGACCGATGGGTACTCATCTCTCCTCCTGCCCTCCGCCCGCAGCATGGGGGACGCGGGTCCTGCGGGACACGGGTCCTGGGGCCTTCTTCCCCCAAGACGAACTTCTCGGCCTGGCTCTCTTCTGGGGCCCGTGGAAAGCCTGAAAACGGCGACAAACCTCAAGACCTGCGTCCGTCTGGACCTGGCCATCGCTGACGTCCATTCCGTGATTTTTTTTCTGGTTTCGTGCGTCTTGCCAAATGATCCAGGATGCTCCTCGATGGTCCTCGCCGAAGGAAGAGTACACACGTGCGAGCGATGACAAGTGGACCCGTGTCCCTCATGGCGACTCCTCCTCTTGGTCCAGCTTTCGTCGGCCGCGTGGCCCGTCGCCGCCACGGGCGGGTGGACTCGGCTCGGAGAAAAAGTCGAGAGGTAGTTGAGCAGGGGCCGACCGTCCCGGCATTCCTATCGTCCTACCACGAAATGTTCTTAGAACCCCCAAATGTTCCAGGAACAAAAGCCACGTTCTTAGAACATATTCCCGATGTGTGCAAACAAGACAGCCCCAGACAGAAATGATCAAAGAACAGTTCGTGGGAATCACAAACGGTTCTTAGAACATTGTTTGGTAAGGCTATAGGAGGAGGAGGACGAGGAGGAGGAGGAGGACGAGAAATCCCGACGCCTTCTGAAATGGCCTTCTTCTCCTCACTTCCCCCCCTCGCTCGCCGCCGAGAGAAGGGCGCGCGAGAGGGCTCCGAGGGCCCGCCGCCTCCCGTCGGGTGCCTCATCCATCAGTAGGGGAGCAAGAAGTGACATAAGCATATAAACTCGGAGGTCCGCGCGGATTCCTCGGATCGGCGCTGGGCCCCCTCCCTGGCGCGCGGAGCGCGCCAGGGGCGGCGCCGCAGGCGCCGCCGGGGGGCCCCAACGCCGATCCGAGAAATCCGCGCGGACCTCAGAGTTTTTTGTTTGTGTCACTCCTTGTTCCCCGAATCATTGCTCCGTACCTCCTCTGTCCTCCATCAATCGCTCCTCCCTGTCGCGCCCCCGGGCGTGTCGGAGGGGCGGGCCTGGCGTTTCGTCTGCGACCTCCTCACCGCTTATGATCCTGAAGCGCGATCTTTGCTACAAGGCTGAACCTAAACGGTGTTCTTCGTTTTCGTTTTGTTGTCCGTTTTCCCTCGCTATTGTCTCGAATCCGCCTTTACCGCAAAACGAAGTCGAAACGAAAACGGCCCACGACATCACCAACAACACCGTTTGGGTCCAGCCCTGCTTTGCTACAAGCTGCACGGACGAGGGCGTGCCGTTCTCAAACTGTGGCCCTCGCCCTAGCGCCACGCACGTGTGTCGAAAGAAACTGCGGCACATTCAGGGATAAAGGACCACTCGTTTTCAAAATGTGATTATCGCCTCACTGGCCATCGCTCGGACGTCCAGTCCCTGTGTGTTGTTCGGTTTCGTGCGTGTTTTTTTTTTTCGCCAAATGATCAAGGATGCTCCTCGATAGTCCTCGCCGAAGGAAAAATGCACACGTCCGAGCGATGAAAACGTTGCAACAGCCTCAAGGATAGAGAAGGTGGTTGTCAGAATGTTGATCTCGCCATTGCGCCACGCACATTCGTCTCATCAGGAATTTTTCAACCGTTTCAAAGATGAAGGCGGCTGCTTTTCAAAGTTCGGCTCTCACCTTGAAGCGCGCACATTCGTCTTAAAGGTTCATGACGGATTCAAGGACCCCAGAGGCTGAAGACCCAGAAATGGTGTTCGGACAACAGTCACGCAGACTCGCGGTGTAGGAGTCACAGGCACTGCGTTCTGCTACGATCAAGGACTGTCGGGACGCAGCGGTCACGTTGATTCGCAGCGTTGCAGTCATAGGAATTGCGTTTTCGCATCATTGCGAATTCTCACACGGTTGTCTTCTAATGGGCTATTTCCCGCAATGGGAATAAACTCTTGCAGGGACCTATGAGAACGGAATCCGAGGGATGGTGTATTGCAACATCGCTTAGACTCCTCCTCCCTCCTCCTTCTGCCTGCTTCTCTTCTCTTCATCCCTCCCCTCCTCCCTCCCTCCCCTCTTCTGGGTCTCCGTTCCCCTCCTCCTCCTCCTCCTCCTCCTCCTCCTCCTACTCCTGCGCTCCTCCTCCTCCTCCTCCTCCTCCCTCCCCCTCTCGCCCCCCTCCTCCTCCTCCTCCTCCTCCGCCTCCTCATTCCTCCTCCCAAGCCCCAACCGCCGTGGCACGGGTCCGACGGCGACCTGGCCCGAGCCGACCAACTCTCGGGCGTTGGCAGAACTGGGTTTATGGGGACCTGGTTTAATGATGTGTACTTGGGGACGCCCCACACGCCCCGTTCCACTGACCGGAACTGCCGTGACACGACAAAGCTCCACCTACGGCAAACCTGGTTTAATGATCCTGGCCAATTCAGGGGCTTCGGGGCCCTACCACTGACCGGGTCCTGGCAACACCCGAATCGGGGATGGACAGACCTCCCTTTAGTAAAACGTGGTTTAGTGAAAACGACCTGCGGCCCAAACCTGGCGGGCGCAGGCTTGGAACATAACGGCCGCGGCGCCCTCCCGAGAACCGAAAACGGACAATTCACTAATCGACGTGTCACTGTTGGGGGTTCTGTCCACCCCCGACCGAAACTCTCGACCACGGAACGGGCACCCTGCTGCCCATCTAGAGGCCTCCTAGATGGGGTCCGAGTAGATGGGGTCGGGGGATCTCACCGCATCGCCGATACATCGACGATGCATCGCTGATGCATCGGCGATGCATCGGCCACGCACTGGCGACGTCAGCGATGCATCGGCGACGTTGGCGTGGAGAAAATCGAGCCCCACATCGAGCCGCATCGCCGATGCATCGCCGATGCATCGGCGATGCGGCGCGATCCTCCGACCCCATCTACTCCGACCCCATCTAGGAGGCCTGGACCATCGCCCTTCGGCGGCGGCCTCGGCGGTCTTCGAAGCCTCCTGCCGTGCTCGGCGGCCCTCCGGGGCCTCCCGCGGCCCCAGCGGCCCGCGCACCGGGCACGGCGGGGCATGCCTGCCCTGACGCCCGGGGCCCTTGCTTTGGGTCGGGTATGTCCCCCTACAGGCGGAGCTTGGACGGGAAATAAAAAACATACCCCCAACATATTCCAGAATGGTCAAACGCAGTTTTTGAACAGTCGGCCCCGTAATATGTTTTGGCTACTTGTGAAGATCCCCCCTGTAGATGGACAGGCCCGATTGAACCCTGGCTTTGCTTCTGCAGAAGCTCCCGACCCCGTGCGTGGATTTTGCGCCGTGGGTTTCCAGCGGGGGTTCAACCTGGAGCACCGGCGCCGTCGTCTCCTCCTGCCTCCTCTCGGGAAGACGTAAGACTCGGGCTAGGGGGACTCGGGTTGGCCTGGCGGGGCCGTCAGGAACATGACGAGACCCCCTCTAAAACTTGACGCGAACTCTTGCTGCAGACATCCCACGGGGGCTGGACCGTCAAAGCCCAGGGCGGCCTCGTCAAAAAGCGTGGGCGAATCCGAATTCTGGCGTACTCGAGTCTTACGTCTCCCCGATGATACGCGATAAAAGCACCCCTAACCCTTTGGGAGGGGACTTCAATTAGGAGGGCCAGAACATTAGGGATAGGAGGTCATTTCTGCAGATGTATCAAACAATCGCCCAAGTGTTTACACCTAATGCGAAGAAGGGGACCTCAGTGAGGCCACTTCTTCATCGTGTTTTTAGGGTCAGGGGTTCTCTCGCATCTCGATGGCCCGATCCTGCGCGCGAGGTGCCCCCAAGCTCTGATGGAGCCGTCGTAGCAGATCATCAGGCCGTGGGCCTGGCGCGGGCGCGGGGCGGCGCGAAGCGCCCCCCGCTTGCACGCGTTACTAAGACGAAGCCAGGACGAGGACAACATTCGGGCCGGGCGAAAGGGGGGGATAGTAAAGGGGGGGTTTGAGAATCAGCTCGCGGAGCTGATTTTCCTTGCGCCTCCCAGCGCCGGGAGGCGCCCATGTATCGAGGAACGGGCCCAGCGGCGGGGCCGACACCAACTGCATGCAGCAGATTTCGGAACCCCCCCTTTCCCTATCCCCCCCTTTCGTTCGGCCCGAAACATCGGGTGAGGATACATGGAGAATCTCTGGGATCTGGCGGCTCTGGAGGCTGCCTCGGGCGCCGCGGCCTCCCCGGAGCGTGCCGCAACGCCCCGAGAGCGGTCGGGCGCGCTCTGGCACGGACTTGTCCTCGTCCTAGGGCCCCGCCCGGCTTGCCGCCGGCGTGGGCAGAGCTCGACCGCGCCGGGGGCCAGGGCGCCGGAGGCGCTGCCATGGGGGGGCCTCGCGCCGAGCCGAGAGATCCGCGTGGAGCTTCGATGGTCGGTGTTTGCTGCGGTCACCCAGTTTCGCCCATCGCGCCCCGCGGAGCGCGATTATCTTCGTGCACTCGCGCCGGCGCCATGGAGTAGGGCGCCCATTGAGCCCGAGCCACAATGTACGAATCGTTCTCCTCGTGCACGAGCACGTTTGCGCTCGTTCTCCTTCGTTCTGTCTTCGTTGTGCTTTTGCTGCGAAGCGGAATCGGAACGAAAAAGGTCCACGCATTCGCCACAGCACCGTTTGTCTTAGACGCGGGCGCCCATCGGACGAAAACCCGAAGACATAGCCAATTACTTCGAAAAGGAGAGGCCAACCCCCTTCCGTGCATGCACTGCTGGGGGAAGTTGTGGTAGTCGCGGCAGTGCTAGCAGCAAGACAGTGCCAGCCCAAACACGCGGCGCCGAAGAAACGCTCACCAACGCCCACCAGGCGAAACCACGGCAGACCCCTCTACACACAAACACGCACAAGCACACATACACACATTCACACACACACACGCACACACACACGCACACACACACACACGCACACACACAAGCACACACACAAACACACACACACACACACGCACACGCACACGCACAAGCACACACACAAGCACACACACAGGCTCACACACACACACGCACACGCACACAAGCACACACACACAAGCATACGCACAAGCACACACACACACGCACGAGCATACACACCAGCAACACACACCGACACACACACACACACACACACACGAGGCACCCGCGAAGAGCCCCCGGACGCCAGTGGGCGGAAAGACCCCTTGTTCCCTAGTAGAGGAGGAGGAAGAGGAGGAGGAGGAGGAGGAGGAGGAGAAGGAGGAGGAGGAGGAGGAGGAGGGGGAGGAGGGGGAGGAGTAGGAGTAGGACTAGGAGTGGGAGTAGGAGTAGGAGGAGGAGGAGGAGGAGGAGGAGGAGGAGGAGGAGGAGGAGGAGGGGAGTTCTTACCTGGATTGGTGTGGCTGGTCCACGCCTAGGTTTACGGCCGCTGCCGCCCCGCAAGGCGCAGCGTGTGCCCCCCGCGCCCGAGGGGCACTTCGAGGCTGCGCCACGCTGCCGCTTCGTGTGCGCCGCGCGCTTGGGGGGCATGTCGAGGCTGCGCCACGCTGCCGCCCGTGACTCGCGAGCTTGCACGACGCAGCTTTCACCACGCAAATTCCACCACGCAGCCTGCACCTCATAGCCTACACAGCATGGCTCACAGCGCACCGTTCACACCTCACAGCTGACCCCACCCCAGAGCTTGCACCTCCAAATTCAGGCCGCAAAACGTAAACAGCATAGCTTGCACCGCACAGCTTGCACCGCACAGTTTTCTCCTCAATAGCTTACACCACATAGCCCATACGACGCAGCAGCGTTCGCCACATTGTGTACACCGCATAGCTTGCACCACATAGCTTACACAGCACAGCTTACGCTATACAACTTACATCACATCTATTGCACCCCATAGCGTTCACCCCCAACTCACATCGCATAACTCACACGATATCGCTTACAACACATAGCTTGCACGGCATAATGTTCACCTCCATAGCTTGCCCGATGGGCATCTATGGTTGTCCACCGTCGGCATATCCGCCTCCCCCTACTCCCTCTCCGTCCTCCTCCTCCCCTCGCTCCGCTATAGATTCGAGTGTTGCCACAAGGTTCCATGGCCCAAGGTGCCTCTAGGGTGTCCGAGGAGGCAACCTCACGCGGCCCAGAAGCAGAGGTACACTGGGGCTCCAACAATGGCGTCAAACTGTGGACACCTTGGTCCAAGGACACCTTCTGCAACTCCCGACATAGTGATAATGCACTTGCGCTGGCTATGGCTTGGCCACGTCTCCGTGCACTTGCCAATCGACTCCTCGTTTTCTGACCGAGAAGCACGCCGCAACCCCGCTGAGGTCACCAGTTATGTACATCGTGCCAAATGAGAGGATGGTGATGACGAGGGCATGAGGCATGATGGAGGAAGAAGAGGAACGTATCAGTGCAGACCCGTTGTTCTGTGCCCGACTGGGCTCTCTGAGGTTTGCAGTTTTGATGAAGTTTCTCTTGACAAGGGAGAGTTGGGCATCAAACATCCCAGCGACTAAACAAATCATGCCTCGTGCTGTGTCGCCGCATGCTCACGTCCCTCTTAGTTCACTCGCGGTTGCTGCTCCACTGCTCTGTTTCTTCTCACTCCACGCTCGTCGGCGCAACGGGTCTAAGTCCAATGTACAGCAAGACGAAAATCATCAAGAAGGCGACAGGCTGGAAGAGGAACAAGGAAGGGACTTCTCTCTTCTCTCTCCCGCCCTCGTCGAGACGCGGGGGAGCCAGAAGGGAGAAGAGGGTGCCACTCTGGAGGGGAGGGACGAGGGAGGAGGGACGAGGAGGGACGAGGGAGGACGAGGGAGGAGGGAGGACGAGGAAGGACGAGGGAGGAAGACGGAGGACGAGGAGGAGGGGGGAGGGTGGACGAGGGAGGAGGGACGAGGGAGGAGGGACGAGGGAGGAGGGAGGGACGAGGGAGGCGGGAGGGACGAGGGAGGAGGGAGGGACGAGGGAGGAGGGAGGGAGGGCCCGGCTCTGGAGGGGGGGGACGAGGCGGGCGGGAGGAGGCGTGCAAGACCAAGACCTCAGGAGGCCAACTGAGAAACGACGAGGCTGTCATGGCCACGGCGAGCCTCGGCCACGAAGATAACCAGCCTCGAACTTATCCCCATCCCTTAGATGGGCGAGGAAAAAGCGCGGACGATCTTAGGGATGTGCCCTCAGAAACTGAGGGAATCCCTTAACGTCACCTCACCTCGATCGGCATCGAGGTGAGGTGACGTCAAACACAGGGATAGGGATATGCTTCAAGCTGGTAAGAAGAGTTTCCCCGACCCAGATCTGGGGAGCGGCCCGGAAACCAGAGCCAAGCCCTGAGCCCAAACTGGTCCGTGTTTCAGCGCCTCGACTGCAGGACCCGCTCTTCGACCCGGCGGTCCCGCGGGGCCCGAGCCCGAGCTGGGCCCCTGGAAGGCGGCATCGAAGAACAAGCGTCGGCACCGAGCACCAGAAAACCCGACGTCGGAAGTCAGGAGGCCCTCGGTTGCACGGCCAGCACCGCGGCGAGGGCGGTCCTCCCCTATGGCGGCTTCGGTGACCACCTCGGTCATGACCTGCGGCGGCTGGGAGCGGGGCACACACCATGCGCAGCTCGTCGTCGTTCGTCGTCGCCGTCGCGTCGCGGATTTACGATCGAGGCTCGATGATCCGGGATGCTGGACCTTCTTGGATCATCTTGTCTGGGGCACCCTGGAGGCCGTGGGGGACTCCTTGGAGATCCTGGGGGGCACCCTGGGCCAGGGCACTCCCGGCAGCGCCCGAACTCGGGCTCCTGGGGTGCCCAGGCCTCTGGCGGCAGCCGGTGTTCCCAAGGAGGGCTCCTGCAGGCGGCGCGCGGGATGCAGAGGCCAGCGGCGGCGGCGGCGCAGCCCAGTAGCGGCCAGCGCAGCCTCGGCCCAGCGACGGCCAGCGGGCAACGCTGGCCAGACATATCGGGAGCGGCCAAGAGGGGGGTGTCCAAGAGGGGGGGGTGCAAATCATGACCGGCGGCATGTGCTCGGCCCAGCGGGGGGGCCAGGGAAATAATGAAATAAGAAGAGGCGCCATGAAATCTGGGCAAATATCATGGCCCCCGCCATGATATCCCCCCCCTAGTCATCACCCCCCTCTTTGCAAACAAACTCGTGTCAGACAGTCGAGGACTGGGACGGCCCAGGTTGGTGCGGAAGGTTACTCTGAACAGGGTGGGGTCATTATCATGCCTCATGCCTGGCACGTGCGGGCAACACACTTGCCCCGATTACTGACCAAGAAGATGTTGCAAGATCGGCCAGTTGCGCTCGAATAACAATTCCTTGGGGAATGGTGAGATATACAATCTACTACACAATCTCACACGATATCAACATCGTCATCCACATCTTTTCCGTGAGTCCAGGTGGTCGAATCGCGAGCGCAGCTGCTTCCCCGTGGAGTGAAGACTCCTTGAAGGCCGATGACGATCGTGCCCTTTCAGGAGCATGTGCTAGGTAGGACGAAAGTAGGAGAGTGCCGACGGCGAGCCTGGGTGAATCTCAAACGAGGTGGAACGTTGCTGGCCGCATGCTCGAATCCTCTCAGCTGGCTTCAGCTCGCTTCCTCTAAGATGATCCTGTCATCATGACGAGCATGAGCCATCGGCGGATGGATGTCTCGCGACCTATCACCATATTTACATAACGAAACAAGCATTGCACTGCACAAGTAAAACGGGATACCGTAGGGAGCTCATACGGGATGCAGTACGGGAGAACATTGGGAAAGGATGCGGGAGAGCAGACGGGAGAGCGTACGGGAGAACATACTGGATAACATACGAGGGAACGTACGAGAGATCCTACCAGAGACCGCGGGCTGCCGATCTCGGACATGGGGAAAGCAGCGCGCGCCGTACAACAACACACAGAGCCCATGACAGGGAAGCTGCTGAGGGAAGCAGGCGCAAGACCCGCACGGTCGGGGCGTCTGGGCCTCGGGGGTCTCGGCTGGGCCTTCACGACGACTGGCGAACGAGAGGCGGACTCCTCGTCACCGCAGGAGCTCGACAGCAAGAAACCTTCCACAAGGAAGCCAGCGTTTTCTCATTCGGAGTTTCGACATTGGGCAATCGGCGGTGGACAAACCTCCCTTTAGTAACTCTCCCCTTTGTGAAAACGGCCTGGGACCGAGACCGACGGACCTGGACCCGCAAAGATGACGGCCGCGACGCCCTCTCGCGAGCCGAAAACGGCGAATTCCTTAATCGACGCGTCAGGGTAGGAGGTCTATCCACCTCCGAGGCAGAAGGGAGGAGGGAGGGGTGGGGAGTCTGACTCCGGACCTCTGCCTCGTGCGACCGTTCGCAGCAGCGCGTCCGATGGGGGAGGGACCCCGCCTGCTCGAGACAAGCGCCAAAGACAGCCAGGATCTACACTTAAGTCGGGCTTGTCCCCCTACAGGGGGATTTTTGACGAAAAATGAAAAATACCCTAAGAAAACTCCAAAAAGGTCAAACAATACCCAACAAAAATGGTCCCCAGACTATTTTGCATTATTTTTGGATTATGTTGGGGGGTATTTTTTAGTTTTCGTCGAAAATCCCCCTGTGGGGGACAGGCCCGACTCCAATCTACTCCATGGGGTGGGGGGGAGGGGGAGTGCGCCGGCCCGCGCCGATCGGCAGAGCAATGCACTGAAAGACGATTACAACCCTGAGACCCTAGGATGTACATCGATTGTTTGTGTGGGGGCGTCGCGTTGTCCATCGCAGGCCATCGAAGCCATGTTTCTTGGCAGGGGCTTCCTCTGCAGGCGTAGATCTGCTCCCTCGGCAGCGCACCGAAGCCGGCCAGCTGCTCTTTCCCGGAGGGTGCACGCTGATGTGACATGCCAACCATCGGGGGGACATATGGCTGCGACAGCATGGGTGACCACTTGCTGCCATTTTTTTTTGCAACCGCTCCCTGAAACTCCCCGGGGAGGCCCCTCAGACCTCCACTGAGCCTTCTGGGGATGCCCCTCAAACCTCCTTGAAATCTCTCGCTGAGCGTGTTCGGGGGAGGCCCCTGCGCAACCCTGTTTCCCGGGAGTAAGCTCCAAACTGTTCTGGGAGTCAACTTCGGGCCGTGTTAGCAAAGAATCGCTGGGCATCGACTCCAGGCAACAAACACATCCGCGAAGGATTGCTCAACTTATGATGCCCTCAAGAGGGCATCACGAGTTCCCGAAAGCGCTCAAGAGGAAGCCAGGGAGCCCCCAAGAGCCTCCAAGAAGCCCTCAAGAGGCGCGCAAGAGCCCTTAGAAGGCTTCCAACAGGCCCTCAAAGAGGCACCCCAAGAGACCCCATGAGGCATCTTAAGAGGACTATGACCCACATCCAGGTACGGTGGCGGGATGGGCTGAATAGTTCAACATCCAAGGAGTAGCAAACTCAGGAGTGGGTCATCGGGCGAGGAAATCGGGCCGGAGGTGCCGAAACTGCCTTTTCGACCAGACCACCCATTGAGTCGGACGTGATTCCGGGGCGCACAAATTTGGGGCATGCGTCGTCTTTCAGGAATTTCGGAAAATTTTAAACCTCCCGAGCCCCCCCAAACCGCCTGGTGGCAAACTCCTGGGTCCTCTTCGAAGAAGTGGCCCGTTCCTTCCCGTCGCCCTCCAACCCCCTGGCCGGCCCGCAGCGGTGCCCAGGTGGTGCCGGATCAGTGTCCATTCGTGGTGCCCTGTTGGTGCCCCGTGCGAGCGGCAGCGGATTCAGCATTGAGGGGCCTGCCCCCCCCCCCCCCCTCCACCAGATAGCTTCCCGTTGGCTACCCCGCAGGTGCTGACCACTGAGCACGCTGGCAAGGGGGGGCGGATGGTGTCATCCAAGAGGAAGTGCAGGCTGGATGCTGGCTAAGCGACGGCGAGGTCCACGATGACCGCATCCCTCCCTAACCCCTCGCCATCGTCTTCATCCTCCTCCTCCTCCTCCCTCCTTCCTCTTCGCTCACCCTTCCTCTCCTCCTGCTCCTTTCCTGCTCGGATCCGTCCATCCTCCCCCTCCTGCCAAAACCTATGGCAAGGCTACACGCAAGAGTGACCCTAGACAGATGCAGTGGGCGCTAGGTGGCCAAACCCAAGCGCGCAAGCAACCACTATCGCATCGCGCTCAGCGATCGGGGGACCCCGGTGAGCCCGCACCAAAAGTCACTCCGGCGAAGGGTCACGCTTACGCGTAGTCGATCGCTGTCCTCTTCCCCCTCCGGCTCTTCCTCCGCCCGGCTCGATTGGGGAGGGAGAGGTGGACGCGAGTCCCTTCGAGCAACCTGCCTCTCTCCCTGCCCCTCTTCTCGGTGCTTCAAGGATGGGACCCGTAGCGATGGGGACCTAAGGATAGGCAAGGATCCAAGGGTGGACTTACGGACGACGACGACGACGACGACGGCGACGACGACCACGACGACGACGACGACGACGACGACGACGCGCGACGGATTACCCGCGGCGGCGACCGCCGCCGCCGTCGTCGCTGCACGGGCGCCGGGCGGCGGAGGCGGCCGCCGGCCTCGATGCCCGTGGTGCTCACCATGTCCATCACGCCGGCCTGGCGGGCCGGCGGGCGGCCGAGAGCAGGCGACGGTCGGGCGCGGCCCAAGCAACCCCCAGCACACCTATAGGGGGCCATGTGCGAAATCTACTGACTACCTACCAGACCACCCCAACCCAACCCGGAGACCCGAATTTGAACCGAATTTCGGGTTGGGGGGGGTACGGGTTCCATGTGTTTTTTCGATGCTCCCCGACCCCCCCCCCACTGGAAATGGAGGGCAAATCGTGGCCTTCGGGTTGGGTTGGGGTGGTTTGGTGGGCGCTGACCTACCCCTACGCCCCACGATTTCTGAGGGGGAGGGTGGGGCTCACTTCGCTCAGAAGCTCCCGAACGAAGTGAACCCCACCCTCCCTCTCAGAAATCGTGGGGGGTAGGGGTAGGGTTCGCATGTGGCCCCCTAACACCATCCCCTTCCAGGACGTCACCCTCGCCTTGCACGAGCTGCAGTGGGGGCGCGTGCCAAGAAACCGAGTGGCTTCTGCCAGGGTGCCCTGGGTTTCTTGGATTTCGATGGGCCCCCCATACGATCTGGACGATTTCCGATCGACGAATTTGGATCTTCACTGAACAATTCGCGGATTTCAGGGTTGGGTCTCTTGCGGAAGCTTCTTGTGGCCGAGGCCCCCACTGTACCCTCCGGCCGCATACATACGTCCTGGGGCGGGGCGAGGGGAAGCGGCGCAGAAGGGGATGGTTGCCAGGCGATGCAAGGGAGGCCATCCGCAGGGCAAGAGCAGAGCCCCGTGCAGGCTGGCCGTGTCAGCGCTCCAATGCTGAAGGAAGCATCACCAGCGTCATGCAAAGCTCGAGCTGGACCGTGTTTTCGGACGCCCGACATGGGCACTGGAAGAATGGGCTCAATGTCCAGCAGCAACTGTTGTCTCAGACCAACAGCGGCCGCTGTTGGGCAGGCGGCCTTCTGCCTCGAACGAGCACAGGCCGCGGCGGCGCGGACAGCGAGTCCTGTTCAAAATGAGCAAGAACTGCTGTCGGTCTTTGTACCAATTATTTCCGTACCCATGCCGGGCGTCCCGAGTGTTTCCGTGTTCTGTTCGTTCTGGTTTCGTTGTCCGCAATCAAAACGACAACGGTCCACGAAATCGCCAAGACACAATGTAGCTCGAGCGCTGCAATCACGATCATCCAATCACACTCATGATCATCCTCTTCTCCCCCATCATCGTCTTCTGCGTCGTCACCCGTGAGTCGCCCCCGGGAGTCGCCGTCGTCAATCGGCAAACGACACCCCGGCGTCACGTGCGTCGTCGTCGCTGGCGATGGCCCCCTCTCACTTCGGCTACACGCATGAGTGGCCCTAGGCAAGAGTGACCTTTGGTGCGCGGCTGAGCGGGGGACGCAGGGTGGCCAAACCGAGGCGCGGAGGCCGCTGCTACCGCGTTCAGCGTTCAGCGATCGGGGGACCCCGTTGGGCCCACACCAAGGTCACTCCGGCGGAACGGTTACTCTCACGTCGGGTCGGTCACTCCAGGCCTGGCAAAGTGACCAGACCTGCTCGCGTTGTGACAGAAATCACGACGGGAAATGTTTGATCGTTTTCAATCTCCAGGAGCCCTCGCTGGGCCCCCCGAGCGTCAGAACACGACCCAAGATAAAAAAACAGTCTCTGGGAATGGTTCGAGACCTCTGGGGCTCGACGCTGTGACGAATTCATGTCATCGGGGGTTCCAATGTGCACGCCAGATCTGTGTCCCTGGACGTAGCCTGGCCAGGATAGGTGCGGGTGGACCGTCTATAAGACAAAACCAGGACGAGGATCAATTCGGGTCAGGATAAATCGAAAATCTCTGAGATCCCGCGGCTCTGAAGCATGTCTCGGGCGCCGCGGCCTTCTCAGAGCGATCCGGAACGCTCTGAGAGCGTACGAACAAGTGTGATACACGTGCACTCTTGCAGCAAATCGTGCGGGGATGTATCGCAATCATGCGCTGCGCTGGCACGGCAACGATGCTCCGAACAAGTGTGATACAAGACAAGTGTGATAGCAAACTCGCAGTTTTCTTATCACTCTTGCTCTTTTGTATCACGCCTGCTCTTTGCCACGCTTGTCTGGGACGGACGGGTCCTCGTCCTGGCCCCGTCCGAATCCAGGTCGTCGTCGTCGTCGCAGTCGACCTCTGAGACCGGGCCAGTCCTGAGCCCGGGTCCGGTGCCAGTCGTGTGCAGGATGCACCACGAGGAACGATGAAGTCGTCGTCGTCGTCGTCGCACGAAGACGACGACGACGACGACGACGACGACGACGACGACGACGACGACGACGACGACGACTGGGCCCGGCCAGGCCAGTGCGGGCGGATGCGCGCTGCCGCGCCCATGGAGGCCTCCGGCGGCCCGCGGGGGCGACGAGGGCGCCGCCGCTTCCCGGACACCCTCGACATGCTGCTGACGCCGCGGCGCGGCAGAGGCGATCCGCTCGCGCGCTCTCCAGTGGGTCGGGCCGAGGCACGGTACGAACTGCCTGGCTGCCGGAGGGGGGAAGGGGGGAGGAGGGCGGAGCCGACTCAGAACACACATCTCCCCTAACAACGGATCCTCCTTCGGCGGTGGACAGACCTCCCTTTCGTAAACCTCCCCTTCGTGACAACGGCCTGGGACCGAGACCGACGGACCTGGACTTGCAACAATGACGGCCGCGACGCCCTCTCGCGAGCCGAAAACGGTAAATTCCTGAATCGACGTGTCAGGGTACTCCAGATTCCGTAATAAAAGGGAGGGGGTCTGGACCCTCCAAGACAAGCCATTTCAGACCTCCCCCGTGGGAGAACCCTCCAAAACATCGTCCCCAGACCCCCCCAGGCCCTCCAAGATAGCCTGGAAGAGACCCCCCCCGAAATGAGACCCCCCTCCCTTTATTACGAAATCTGGAGTAGGAGGTCTGTCTACCTCCGACTCCTCCTTTTGGACCCGAGAGGCCCAGACGTCGCGGTCCGTGCCGTGCTCGTGCCCAGGACCACGCAAGCCCTTTCCAGAGGCATGGTGTTCATCCTGGACAGCTCTTATGGCTGCCTCAGAGTCCTAGAATCAAGTCGGGCGTGTCCCCCTACAGGGGGATTTTCGACGAAAAATAAAAAAATACTCAAAATGTCCCCAGGCTATTGTTTCGTATTTTTGAAACAAAAATGTCCCCAAAATTGTCAAACAAAAATTCAAAAATAGTCCCCAGGCTATTGTTTCCTATTTTTGAATGTTCCCCCTGTAGAGGGACGGGCCCGACCTAACCCTAGAGCAGCCTGCAGGCGCCGACCCCGGCGAGGCAGCTCCGTGTCTTCAGCTGCTCCGTACGCCGGAGGTCTGGGCCTCCACTTCGTTCTCCGAGGGCTTGGACACCCAAAATTGAAGGGGCCCCAGGACACACAAATAAATACACACAAATAAAAAGATTCCCCATATTTTCACATATTTTCGGGGTTTCTGTCTTCCCCCCCACTTCCCATATTTTCCCATATTTTCCTGGGGATCGACGATTAATTGTGTCTGTGTGTTTCTTTCCCTCCTGAAACATGCCCAACAACAAATGTTGTCCCGAACCAACAGCGGCCGCCGTTGGGCAGGCGGCCTTCTGTCTCAAATGAACACAGGCCGCGGCGGCGCGGACAGCGAGTCCTGTTCAAAATGAACAGGAACTGCTGTTGGGCATCGTACCCATTCTTTCCGTACCCATTTCGGGCGTCCAGAAAGGGGGCCCCTGGCTCTCTCCTGGGATGCTTCTTGGCCGGCTGCGCCGCCGAGGACGCCACACGAGGCCCAACGACGGCGGGGATCTCTCCAAGCCTCGACCCATGATCGGTCGGGCCCGGGGCGGAGAAGGTGGAGGGGGGTCGTGCCAAAGTGCGGTCAGATTCGGTACGCGCATCCCTGCCAAGATCCCTCCCAGCCAAATTTTTCGAGCTGCGCCAGGCAGCGGGGACGAGAATTTCCAGCAACGCCCCCCCCCCTCAGGACCTGCGAATTCGAGGACGCCCGCGTCGACGTCGTCCGCCCTCGAGCATGCAAGCTTAAGTCGGGCCTGTCCCTCTACAGGAGGGATACTCAGAAATGGTCAAAAATACTCAGGGGACGATGTTGGATCATTTCTACATCTTTTAGGGTACTTGTTTTTGACTATTTTCTGGCGTCCACAATCCCCCTGTAGAGGGACAGGCCCGACGTAAATGCAAGCAGCCGCAGCGGGCCGCGTCGCCGACGGCGCCGGCGCCGGCGCCGTTCCAGGGGAAACAACAGGGGTCGGGGATGGACAGACCTCCCTTTAGTAAAACGTGGTTTAGTGAAAACGACCTCGGGCCCAAACCTGGCGGGCGCAAGCCTGGAAAATAACGGCCGCGGCGCCTTCTCGAGAACCGAAAACGGACAATTCACTAATCGACGTGTCAGGGTAGGAGGTCTGTCCACCCCCGAAGGGGGGGGACTGGCTCGGTGGTGCAGCGTCGGCCCGGCATCGACGAGCCATCGCATGTTGGATCGGCGGCGGGCCCCCGACTGCGAAGCCGCGCGTGTCCTGGACGGGGTGGGGAAGGCTGGCCCCCGTCGGCGAGGAGTGGGCGATTGGGCGCCGATGCGTTCCCCCCGTTCGCCCCCCCAAGCAGGGTCTGTCCGACGCGCTGGCAGGGTGCCGAAGGAACATCGCCTCCCAGGGGCGAACACGGGAAACCCTCCAGCTTCGGTCTTTTGGGCGCCGATGCGTTCCCCCCGTTCGCCCCCCCAAGCAAGGTCTGTCCGACGCGCTGGCAGGGTGTCGAAGGAGCATCGCCTCCCAGGGACGAACACGGGAAACCCTCCAGCTTCGGTCTCTCCTTGTTTCTCGAGCTTGTTTCTGGTGGCTTTCCTGGCGTGGAACGCAGGAGCGGCCTGGAGCCCCTCCCAAGCCTCAAACGGCCCGCTTGCTTGAGCGTCTTGCCTCTATCGGGGAGGCGTAAGACTCAGGCTCGGGGGACTCGGGCTGGCCTCCCGGGGCCGCCGTGAAAATGGCGAGGCCC